AGAAATACCTCATTCAATTGTGCACTTCTAAGTCTTGGTCCACTCAGTACTGTTTGCATGTTTCTATTTTAATTCTTTCTCTAAAATGTTATTTAGCATGTGGCTTCATGCCATTGCTCTCCACAATCATGCATTGAATTTCTATCCTTGCATAATACTTCTCCATATATATAGCATGTGCGCACATGTGATATGGTTCATTAGGCCTGATATAGTGTGTGAGGTAAAACAAAGATGATGTGACATATGCATTTACCAATCACACGTGCATAAATCTAATAATATGGCGTGTGGCCCATATTAATGGCACATAAACCCATATTGTGGGCTTACGTGCTTTATGTACCATCATTCCCTTGCAGCGTGTGTGTTGGTTTCCTTTTATAACACAACGAACTCCATATTTTAGGGTGAAGAGCGTTCTCATGGCAAGCACAAAATCTGTAAGTGAGGCAGAAAAGGAGACGGAGAAGGAGATAGGTGAAGATGTAGAATATATAAGTCTTCCAAACTCCCCGTACTATACTCCAAGTGATCATTTTTCTGAACAAACGGCAACATTAACAACTATCGAGAACGCCCCAGTAACGTCAGAGACAACAATCGAAAGCAAAACAACTGACCCGGAGAAGGATGATAGTACCGCTGAGAGTACCAAAAAGGAGGTGTCCACTAGCGCTTAAGCTTATAATGGCGTGTGCCCTCATACCATTTACTTGATCACCAAATACCTTTTTCCCTTTGCACTAGTATATCTTAATACCGGTCTGAGAAATAGAATGGCATGTGCCCTCAGGCCTTTTACTAAATCACCTTTGAAAGAAATGCAAGCTTCTATGTCGTAAAAAAAAGGTACTAGAGAAATTCCTTAATAATATGAATGTTATTTAGTTTCATGAAAATACACTAAGGGTCAAATGAGTTAAATGACTTCTCCAGACTAGCAATGCCTCTTGCTACACCTTCACAATTAGATTCGTTAGAAAAAGATAACATTGAATAATATCTAAATGTTCTCACCATTAAGTTATATGTTTGGCTAATAGGAATGACGTTCATCTTGGAAAGCTTACCACACGCTCAATGAACAAACAAATAGTGTGTGCGCGCATGCCATCGCTCTTCTTTAGCTTCAGATTCGGCTTGTTCACCTTGACAATGAGATTTATTATACAACCAGATGGACTTAGTCTGGACACAAACTCACTGCGCTAGTCACCATGCCCCAGATATGTCTAGCCCCTGGACAAAAAACATATAATTTCATGTCATTTTCAAATACTTGAAAATTTGTACCTAGTCCCATTTTACTGAATAAATCCCACTTTAACGAAATAGAGCTTAAACTCAGGAGTTTATATAAAGTTATATTTCACTAATAGTTTTTAGTGGATTTATTATAGAAATTCAAATTACAATATCTCTCATATATTAGAAATTATAAATAAAAAGATTGTTAGACAATCATATTTCATAAGAATTTACTAAATGGATTTATAGATATTTAATATAAAGACCTGCTAACTTTTTGTCCTCCCTCAAAGGATGGCTTTCTCCTTATCCTCAGAATCACATCTAAAATCTAGAGTATTGATAAATTGAAAAAAAATCACAAAGCTTTATAAAAAGAAAAATAATTTTGTGCTAATGTAGTAGGAGGAAATAACCATAGTCTCATTTCTCAATTGTGTCATGGTCAATGTATTTAAGAGAATCAGATCTAAAATTGTTATGCTCAATATATTTAAGAGAACTAAATTTAAAATCATGCTATATAGATGAGTGAGAAATATACCATTTCTTGAATTTAGATTTTTTGAGAGGCCACCGAGCCTAGTATTACTCAAACATAAGGAGACTTAACCCCCAAATATCCCAATACTCAAACCTAAGACGTTTTAACCCCCTAAGTATCCCAAACTAATTGGAAAAAAGGGTGTACTTTTGTTATTTCCCTCTATATTTGAATTATAGATTGTCTCTCAATTCGTTCTTTTTAATTACTTATAATTTACTATACTTCCTTACAAGTTCATGCTCGTAAATGGAAGTTGAAAGCCACAACTTTCCCAAGAGCTTTGCTCTTTTGACACCCTACCATTTATGTTGAACTTAATTGAAAGCAAATTAAATTTACTAAATGTCAATTTTAACATGTAGTGTAATTCTCTGTCATGTAATTCTCAACATATGATGTAATTCTCTGTCATGTAATTCTCAATATATAATGTAATTCTGTTATCTTTGATTACTTACAACTACCTAGTCTCTAGAGGGTGGTACAATGAGAATTGTTATTTGTTCTATTTGATGCTAAATTTAATAAATCTTTATAATACATCCTAACATATTAAAATGTAAAAGCCACAAAAGTGTGCAATATTCCTGCCCAATAGTTAAAAGATAAATTACCCCATATATGAAAAAGAAATAGAATCACTTTGCAAAAATAGAAAAAATGTGTGTGTTAAGAGGGCTACAATCACATTGCATTTAGTGTTAGGGCATTGTAAGAAAATTCAAAACTTATTTGCTAATGGGCTCTTTGGTTTTAAATATATGAGAATGGTAAGCAAAATTCCCAACTTCACTAAGGGCATTCCTAGTTATAATAAATTTTCTTATTATTTAGTTGTAGCGCATGTGATCATGGGATGAGATTTAGATATACTGTCACCATGGATCCTTGGAACCTTGGGGGATAAATGGGGATAAAATAGCCACTAAGGGCTCTCTCATAAAGCAATTGCCCTTTTTCCAGTTGGCTTAAGGGGAGAGAGATAAGGTGCACTACATTAGTAATATCTTTTCAGGCTACTATCAATTTTACCAAGAGGTTCTGATCTCTTTTGTGGTTAAAAGACTTGAATCAATTCATTATGAAATTTTTGCATAGACTATGCAATTCATTCTTTTATTTTCCTTCACCTTGCTGTAAATAATGTTCACATTGAGCATGTCCAGTAACTATGACAATTCAAATGATCACCTTTATTTTATAGCACATGCTGTCAAACACATTGTATGCATCCCTGCATTTTCCATAAATTTTCCACTTAAAGAGAAAAATCCAACCCATAACCGACTACAACTTATAAATGTGATTATCAGTTCAAAGAACTTCAAGAAAAAAACAAGCATCTAAAGCCATGAGAAGGTGATCTTTTTTTATCTTAGGCCTGCATTTTGCTCTATCAGAAATGTATATTGCAACTTTCCATGCCAAGTATATGTGCTAAATGACAATCGTCCAAGGCTTAAAACTCCACTAAAACATAATTGCACTTCAAGACTATTGCTCAACTAATAAGAACCCTTCCAGACACAAGTATGCATAGAGGTGGATTGCTTGCTTACCACACTCATGCGACACATAGACAGTGATCATCATGTTTCATCCCGCTCAATCAAATGCATCTCAACATATAAACTCAACTACTAGAAAGAATTCAAGCACAGATTTACTTGCCCTTGGAGAGAATCTCCCAGCACAGTGCAAACACCCATGGCCTTCAGAAGAGTGATCTCATTGCCCTCCATGCCTCCAAGGGTGCGAACTCTTACTCCAAGTACGTTTCTCAGTGGTCGAGGCTTTTGAGAGGTAAAATCGAACCCTATCCTCCTTTTGCCCTTTCTTTTGTCGATCTTCCTCAAATCCCGAAACAATGATGAAAGAATCGCTTGGAACAGGTCCGGAAGTTTCGAATCAAAGAAATGGCAAGGGCGATGGAACAACGAGCGCTGGGGCGTGGGCGATCTGATCGCGCAGCTCGCCGCCAAGCCCGCTTGCAACTACAAGTAGTGTCTATCTGGAGCTGGAGGAGAGCTTGGCGAAGCACTTGGCTGGAGATCTCAGCGAAGAAACAGGCATCAACTTCGTGGACAGTCGTGTTTTCAGTCTCAGCCCTGCTCCAAGTCGGGTGTTCGCGTCCTCCTCAGGCTCTCTTTTGCTGGCACACACAGCGAGCTTGATCTCGGCATCACTTGGACAGCCCCGGTGGATTGGTCTCCGGCTCGGGCTCAGTTCTACACAAGCTGGTACTTGGCTGGCAGCGGGAATGCAAGGGGATCCTGTTGAGGTATATGCTCTCAATGACATGATCCTAGGTGGCAGGAGTGCCACTTCACTGATCCAGGTGTAGGCTAGAGGTGTGTCTCTTCATCCTGTATATATAGCTCTGATATATACGATTATCCTGAGAGTCATCCACCATCGTAGCTTCCGCTCTTCTTCTCTTCAGATCCATCGTGATTTCGTTTCGGGCAAATGATGGTTCTTCCCGGGACTGTTACTCTCCAGGCATCGAGGCAGCCGAGGATGATACCGAGGTATGTTCGTTTGAATGGCCACACGCTACAGGTTTCGTTGGATTGCCGAAACATGGAGTTTTGGGACTGATGAGATTCACACCAGCAGAAGATCGCAAAGCTCCTGCGGCTGTGGAGATTGCTCAGCGAGTTTCTATTGCAACCCAGGCCATAACTCTTGACGATCCATTACCACAATGATCGATTCACAACCCAAGAGGGGGCTTTGCCAAGGACGAAACACCGAGCAGCACAAATGCGGGGGATAATCTCGTCTGGTGGGCGATCTAACAAAAACGCCATGGATTTCGCAAAGACCCCTGTCATATGGTTCAAGTACATGGTATGATTTTTTTATTACGGGAACCTGGTTGTCGAGATGATGGCTATCAGGTAAGTGTAGAGGTAAACCGTTGTAGAAGACCTGGGTTCGATGCCGAAGGGTCCACTCAACAAGGACTTTTATGCAAAAAATTTGCTAAATAAGGAGCCATTATTCTGGTTCGCCGGCTCACAAAAACAGCTTAGACCAGTCATTTAGGACATCGGTCTCCCAAAACAAACGTTTCGGGTTCGATTCTCTTCCCGATATTTGTAAATACCAAATACTGAATCATCGTCGATCATCAATGCGGATGCTCTGGCATCGCGACGCTGGAGCACCTCAGCCTTGCGCAGATTGACGTGGGCAAGCTGGAGACTGCGGCAGCTGTGATAATCCATTTCCTGGCCTATCGGCGCAGCGGCGGCTCCAGCCCTGGCAGCTGATTCTCTTGTCTCGTCTGATTCCATTGACAAGACATGATCGATCGCAGGCGCTCCTCCTGTCGCTCCTCCTCCTCCTCGCAGTGTAGCTTTCTCGACGCTGACCTTGTGTTTGGCGCCCTGGCGGCGGGATACGTTTTCAGGGACCAAGGTTGAGAGGTATGAACTTCCAGAGAAGTAGACTTTGTAAGCTTTCGGTGTGCTTTCCAGGTTCAGGGCTGTGCTTGGACACATTCACCATCCATTCCTGTCACGAACAGGCAATTCCGTCCTCAGGCAGCTCAAGTGGACGAAGTTCTCCATGTGCCTGGTGGGTTTGGGGGAATTAAACAAGCCCGCTTTTTCTCGGAGAGACTGCCGTCCTGCGCGAGCTTGATACTCCTCCCGATTTTAGCACCCAAAAATCACCCCGATTCTTGAGACGCATCAAGGATATTTACTAGCCAGACTTCCATGGTGGCTACATGAAAGGTTTATGCGAAGGAGGACGCCACCCTCACTGTCAGAGCGTGGTTGAGGCTTTTGACAAGCGCCAAAGGGGTGATTACAGTTCCCTAGGATCACCCCCGCATTGATCTGCCACAGGAGAACTAAATCTCTCGTGCCTCTTGATTATTGCTAGTGAGAGCAGCAGGAGCTTGATGGTGCAGAACTACCACTTTCTGTTCTATCTGGAAGCGTCCCAGTTGTCACCGCACCAAATGCCACGAACTTTCAATTGTTATCTAGGGCATAAAATGAGTAACTATCACAAATATTCTTTTGCATAGCTCGAACCAAGGCACCACTGGACTACTGATCTTTCATAACATTATTAAGAAAGGAAGGCTTTAATGTGAAAAAAGCCTGATCTTGTCCATAACCAATAAGAGGTGGGATAGAGGATCAGCAAGCAATCCCAAAGTGTATGCGACATTTCTACTTCCATACTTTTTATGCTAGAACCAGTGCATCTTAGATTCTTTGACAAGGAGAGGCACTAAAATAGCATCAAACTTGTAAATAGGTACTGTGCATCACCTTGACCACATCAAAATAAAAAGTAATACTGTGTTGATCTCCGGAAATTGAAGAGTAGTATAAAAAAGGCTTTTCATAGATAACAAATTTTCTTGCATTTCTGGGACATGCGTATAGTGCCATTTGTTAAGCTCAATGAGAATAGAACCAACACCTTTAGCCTCATAGAATTTTGCATTGGTGACTCCACAATGGGTACTGGTGTAGGCAAGTCTACCAATTGAACAAAATTTACTTAATTTCTTGACATTCAAAATTATTGAATACATTGTCCTATTAAAGGGTGAGCCAATAAATATATACTTCTATATGGTGTAAGCCTTAATCAAGTATATGTTATTAGTTCTAATATTTGTGAATTTGAGATTTTACAGCTTAACTCTTTCTAGATTATACCATTTAAGGAGGTTTATTTATCCTATGCAAAGATTCCTCCTATTTGGCAAGTAGTTTGACTTTGTTGTTTACAACAATGTCATTGCAATTGTCTTCTAAGACAATTGACTTTGTTGTAGTTGTTAAACTAGAAACTCTATATATTTACTCATTTTCTATTTTAGATTACAATTAATTTAAAAAGTTAGAACAAGGATTAACTATTATATTCATTTCAAAAGGAACTTTTATATATATATATTTGAATTTTATAATTTATTTTTGCCTTAGATAATTGTAAACATAACAATTATATCATAAATTTATTTATTTTATATAATAAATTTAAAGTTTATAAAATTTTATTTAGGTACTCCAATGAAGTTTTAATGGTGTGGCATTTAGAAAAAGCAGTAAGAATATATCAATTTTTACTCTTTAGTGAAATTTCATGAACACTGAAAATATATATTGTGTTATAACATTACAAAGATAGGTAATAACTCCTTATTCTACTGTTGAAAAACCACTCAAATATGCTAACAATATCATAAATGTTATCACAACAATATAAACATTTAATAATATAAGCAT